CTCACGATCAAGCCGAGCCCTTTGGCCTCGTTTAAAAGCTGAACCAGAGTCTCCTCGTCAGGCGCCTTGAGGACTACCTTGGGCTGTCCACAATATTCCCACTGCTTCAGAAGTTCCGGATTTCGGTGGTGGACTTGCTTATAGGCCGAAACAGCAGCGTGGGCGCATTGGGCCGCTACTTTGCCCTTGCCCATCTTCAGGTCATTCCGGACGATGATCACCATCTTGAATTCTCCGTACTCGCCCATGATGCTGGCTTCGTTGCCCAGCTCGTTGGCTATCATGGTCAGTCTGGATTTGGCCGGACGGAAGAGCCGAGCTCGTATGCTCCAGCCCAAGCATACCCCACAGGTGACGCCAGCAATTAAGCCAAAAACCCCAGGCCTAGCCAGGTAATCCATCGCTCATCTGGAGAAGGAAGAGAAACACAAGTCGGAACGTTAGGAAAGTTTTAAGCTCTGGCCCTCGTGAGCCAGCAGTGTGAAGCAGCAACCAAAAAAGCTAATGCAACCCTAAGTTGCATTAACACAGGGATTCAGTCAAGATCAAGGGAGGTACTAATACCACTCTATAAAGCCTTAGTAAGACCACACCTAGAGTACTGCATCCAGTTTTGGTCAGCACATTATAAAAAAGATGTTGAGACTCTACAAAAAGTACAGAGAAGAGCAACCAGGAGGATTAGGGGACTGGAGACTAAAACATATGAACAACCGTTACAGTAACTGGGCATGGCTAGTCTAGTGAAGAGAAGGACCAGGGGAGACAGGAGAGCAGTCTTCCAATATTTGAGGGGCTGCCACAGAGAGGAGGAAGGGGTCAAGCTATTTTCTAAAGCACCTGTAAGCCAGACAAGGAATAATGGATGGAAACTGAACAAGGAGAGATTTAACCTGGAAATAAAGAGAAACTTTCTGACAGTGAGAACAATCAACCGATGGAACAGAAGTTGCCCTCGGAAGTTGTGGGAACGCCATCACTGGAGGCTTTCAAGAAGAGACTGGACTCCCCTCTGTCAGAAATGGTGTAGGGTCTCCCGCTTGGGCAGGAGGTTGGACTAGATGACCTACAAGGTCCCTTCCAACTCTGATTATCTGTTATCTGTTAGTCTAAACCTATTTTGTGCTTGGAGATTCCACTAGTCTTCGAGTTACAACTGTTCGCTTAGTGAACATTTGAAATTAACAGCAGCACTGGAAAAAAAGGGGCATTTTTCACATTTATGACTGTTGCAACATCCCAGGGTCTAGTGATCAAAATTCAGACACTTGGAGAAAGAACAAACTGAATATTATATGACATGGGAGCAGGGTTGCCAGATCGCAGTTTGGCTCTGCGGCCAAACTCAAGTCAAAATACGGCCAAATTATTTTTTGCTCATGGTGACGCGCATGCGCGAGGGAAGGAGAGCTCGGGATGGGTGGGGAAGCCGAGGGGCGTGGCGTTGGAACGAGCTGTAATAGGAATGGGTGTGGTGTTGATGGAGGAGGAGCCGCCCCTGCTCGGGTCACAGGCGGGAAGGGGGCGTGGCCGGGCGCCAAGGTCCCGAAGGGGTGTGTGACAGGAGTTGAGAGGAAGCGGGCGTGTCGGAGAACTGAGAGGACGCGCTTGTCTTCCTTTTGCTCATGGTGACGCGCATGCGCGAGGGAAGGAGAGCGCCAGAGGACGCGCTTGTCCTCCTTTTGCTCATGGTGACGTGCATGCGCGAGGGAAGGAGAGCGGCTGGGTTGCCATCTGGCCAATTTCACGGCCAAGCAACTTTCGTATGGCCAAATAAATTTGGCCGGAGACCTCATTTTCTCATGGCCAAGCAGATAGAAATACGGCCAGATTTCTCGAATTTGGCCAGAAAAACGGCCAGATGGCAACCCTGCGATGGGAGCTATTTTATGGATGGTTGGAGAATAAAAATAGAAGTGAGAAATAAATGGAGATTAGTGAAATAAAGAATATATGTGAAGATAGAGAGGTAAACAATATGATGATTATTATATATGATTGTTAAGATTACCATAGCTAATATATTTTCGTTAGAAGATATGTTAGGAGGGAGAAATGAATAGTTATAATGTTTATTATTATTGTAAGATTAGAGAATTATTATCAATGTCACGAATATTGTACATTTTGATTGTAATAGCACAGAGACTTTTCTACCCAGACGACACACTGTTTAATGGAAGATGATATGTTCAAGTTAAAAAAAAATAAAAAACTTATTAAAAAAAGTTCATACGCTTGGCAACTCGTTCATATTTATGACGGTTGCAGTGTCTTGAGGTCATGAGATCACCTTTTTTCAATCTTCCAAGCAAAGTCAACAGGAAAGCCTGATTTGCTTAATAACCATGTTACTAAGTTTTAACAGATTAACAGAGTTGGAAGGGACCTTGTAGGTCATCTAGTCCAACCCCCTGCTGCCCAAGCAGGAGACCCTACTGACACCATTTCTGACTTTAGCAACTGCAGTGATTCACTTAACAACCGTGGCAAGAAAAGTGCTAAAATGGGGCAAATTTCACTTACCTGCCTCGCTTAGCAACAGAAGTTTTGGGCTCACTGCAGCATCCCCATGGTCACGCGATCAGAATTTGAACATTTGGCAACTAGCATGTATTTATAATGATTGCAGTGTCCCAGGGTCATGTGATGGCCATTTCTGACTTTCCCAGATTCTGAGAAGCAAAATCAATGGAGCCAGATGTGCTTAATGACTGCATGATTCACTTAACAGCACTGATTTCCTTAACAACCATGGGAAAAAAAGACAGAAAACTGGGCACAATTCAGTTTAAACCCCACTTGTTTAGAACAGAAATTCTGGTCCCAATTCTGGTCGTAAATCAAGGACTACCGATATGGACACTATTAGAATTACATATTAATATAATGAATGAAACAATTTGTTGTATAAATCCTTAAACCCATATAAATCTACTCTATAAATACAAAAGGTCTGGTGGCGCAGTATTTAGAATGCAGTATTGCAGGCTAACGCTGCCGACTGCCAGCAGTTCGATCCTGACCAGCTCAAGTTGACTCAGCCTTCCACCCTTCCGAGGTGAGTAAAATGAGGATCCAGATTGTTGGGGGCAAGATCCTGACTCTATAAAGCACTTAGAAAGAGCTGTAAATCTATCGCTAATCTATTGCTAATCTATTACTCTTTCCTTTTTTAAAGTTTGTTTTTTGCTTGTTTTTAGATTGAAGTATACTCATCATCATCCTATGTGGATATAGTTGCTTCTTTCTTTTACCATTTTTTTAAATTTCAGAAGACTATTGTGACATCTTAAAAATCAATCCATTCTTGACAGCCAAAGGATTATAATTCAGTGTGGGAATTAAAGTTGCTGAGGCATTTTCTCTCCTGATGAAGAGCACCACCACTTAAGAGGGATGTAACAGGCATACAGGAAGTCTTACAAGAGTTTGATAAATGACCGTTCAAAGTTACAAGAGCACTGAAAAAAGCGACACGACCGTTTTTGACACTTATGACCGTTGCAGCATCCCCATGGTCACGTGATTTACAATCGGACGCTTGACCACTGACTCCCATTTATGATGGTTGCAGTGCCCCGGGGTCATGTGATTATTCATCTTTTGCAATCTTCTAACAAGCAAAGTCAAAAACCAGATTCACTTAAAAACTGTGTTCCTGGTTTAAGAACTGCATGGCGAGAAAAATTGTAAAAAGGGGTAAAACCCACTTTAAAAATGTCTCACTTAGCAACATAAACTTTCGGCTAAATTGTGGTTGTAATTTGAGGACCACCTGTATTTTTGTTTGCTCTGTTCTTATACCGAAGCACAGACCAGATTATTTCCCTTCCTAGTGGGCATCCTGGTAGGGACTGGCTGCTCCAAGTCACCACCTGAGCCTTAGTGGCTGCAAAGGGAAGTGGGGCCTAGGCCTTGCCACCACCACACTTTTGCTGTTCCCCATTGAATCCCAATCCTAGTTTTCCCTGGAGGCTTTAAAGAAGAGATTGTAGAGGCCTTTGATTTGATTCAATTGCCCATAATCTGAATAACTGAATGGAGCTAGCAGAGTGTGGCTAGATGGCCGGATGCCCTTCCTGTCACCAATGCAGAGTTTTCCCCCCCACCCCAGCAGCCATATTCTCATTGTGCCCGGAGAGAGAAATATCTGTCTCTACCCAGGATTGAACTCACAGCCTCCTGATTGTGAGATGAGAAGTCCAAACCTCTTGGCCACCTCACCACTCCATTTGATTGAAGTGATAGATAGGGCATTATTTCTCAAGCAAGGCCATTTGAAGGTGGGTGGACTCCAACTCCCAGAATTCCCCAGCCAGCTTTGAGAAACACTTGGTATAGGCTCTCTTGCTCGAGCAGGGGTTTGACTAGAAGACCTCCAAGGTCCCATCCAACTCTATGATTATTATTAAATGCAAAAAAGGCCCCTTCGAAAGGCGGCAGGTCGTTCCACTGCTCTCTACCTGCTCCCCCGCCCCTTCTTCTTCCTCCGGCTCCACGTCGCCTCCCCCACGCTCCCGCCGGCGTCACGCTCCGTGACGTCACAAACAACCCAGCCAATCGCGGCGCGGCGCGTGCCGAATCGGAACGCCGACCCCGCCAAGGGCGGGGCGCGTGAGCGGCAAACTCGACCAATCGCCTTTCTCTTTCCCTTCAGAGCCGCGCGCCGCTAGTGGCCAGGCAGACACCCCACTCAGTCCCTACCCACCCCAAACACCATTTCTCCCCCTTCCTCAATGGGCCGGCCGAGCTGAGGCGACCCTGAATAGGATGAAGGGGAGAAATCAGGGGTGGGGAGTCTTGGGGTTTTAAGCCCTCTTACTTTTTTTTTTCTTTTTTTTTTTTCTTCCCCCCTCCGGCTCGGTTGAAAATCCGCCTCGGCTGTCGCCAGCTGGCAGAAAACCGGAAGCGCAGCCGGCTTCCGGCGAACGAGACCGGAAGTGACATCATCACCACCTCTTGCTGTATGGGGGCGGGGCTTAAGCAGACAAGTCTTTCCCTCACTTCCCGGTTGGCCCTGGTCCAGGAGGCCGAGCCCGGAGGAGGAGCCGCTTGCGGCGGCCGCGGTAGCAGCCGGAGCAACATCAGCAGCACCACCAGCCTCAGGAGCGGCGGCGAAGAGGTCGGAAGCAGCTGAGGGAACCCCGCGCGTATGTCCGTCCCTGAGCTGACGTAAGTAGCGGCCAGGGCCTGCAGGGAGATGGGGCCCGGCTACGGGTCCCCAGGTGGGTCAAAAGGCACGAATGAATCCCTCGCCGAAGAGCAGAACGAGCCAGCGGTGAAACGATCCCCGCTTTTCCTCCGGGGGGGGCTCGTTCTCCTTCCCCCGCAGGCTCCACATCCATGGGGCAGTGGGCTTTGGACCGAGGGTCCTCTCCCCTCTCCCTGCCTTCCTCCGAGGAGCCGAAGCCCCTCCAGGTGGCTCTCCGAGGATCCAGCCAAGCTGTCCCCCCACCTTCCCCGATCCTACCGGCTGTCTCTCTGCCCAGACCCCCCCCCTCCTTGCCTCGCTCCCCCCGCCCCAAATAACTCTCACCCCCGATGGGTGCCTCCCGACTGCATGATTCCGATTCGGAATCCAGCTGGAAGGGACCCTGGAGGTCATCTAGTCCAACCCTCGGCTCAAGCGGGAGACCCCGTCCCATTTCGGACACTTGGCAGTCCAGGAATGGAGATACACGCAACTTCGGGAGGCAAAGCGTTCCTTGTTCGGTTGCAAACCTGGTGGGTTTTGTATCTTGAGAGGCAAAAGGCAACGTGTCCCTGCGAAAGAAAGAAAAAAGCCCTTTGAGTTTGTTATGGAGCCCAAACGTATGACAGGGCGAGTAGGGCAGAAATAGAGGAGGGGTTCTTTTTTTGGGGGGGGGGCAGTGTTTCTGTGTCCAGTGATGAGGAATGAAGCTAGATTAAGGCAGAATTAGGAATGGGGCTCCTTGGTGTCAAAAGAAGCCGATCCAGTTGGAAGGAAGGTCTGTGAAGATTCCCTGTGGTCAGGGCCAAAGAGCCACCCCCACATTGGTAGAGATAATTATAGGAAAGAAATCCTTCCATCCTCCACCATTCAATTAGAATTGAAGAAGCTTCTTGGATGAGAAGCGAAATGTCTTCAAGGAAAAACCAAGAAAGTCCAGTTGCCTCTTGGAAAAAAAGCACCTTTGGGACTATTACTATTACCTTTATTGTCAGAGTGCAACATGTGTACAGTGAGATGGGATGAGCCTCCCTTCGTGCACTCCCCCCCCAACACAACTCACAGTGAGAACAGAAGCCCCTAACTCAGTCCCAATCTTATTACACTATGTGACTTTGTTGCACAATGCATGGCCCAGCAAGTCTATCATATTTTGTTGACAACCCTGACCTGGATGACTGAGAATCTCCATAGACATATAAGGTGTGGGTGGGGGGGAGCAGTGGGTTTGGATTTTTACATGGTGGGATTGCCTTTTTTGGAAATCTTAGCATGTGTCAATCTCTCTTGCGGGTCCTGCTAGCTCAAAACTGATGGTTCTGTGATCGAGTTCTTGCAGTACCAAGGAGTAGAGATGTGTGAATTGTGACCTACTATTTAATTCTCCACCCCTATGCTGAATTGAAGTTCCTGGCTTTCCCCAATAAAAAATAAATCACATTTTAATTTCATTTCCCTAGTTTAGTGTCGCCAGTCCCTAGGAAATGAGTTTAAACAGGGTTCAGAGGAAGATAAGCAGCTGTGTTCTATGTTTCCCTAACAACTGAAGGCTTAGTTCAGATGGAGTGCTTTTTCCCTTCAGGATCTTCACACCAGATAATTTTCTTCTCTTTACTGTACTCCCCCTAGTGTCGAGATGTTTAGCAGTGATTGAGCCATACTTTGCTACTTGCTTTCCAAGAAAGATCTTTTCCTAAAAATGGGTGAGATTGCAAGTTCGGGATCGGTTTGTATCCAAAGTACATTTGATTAGGTGACAGCTAAAATTGGAATTTCAGCAGTTGCCTAAATCATTTGTGATGGGTAAGATTTGACAATGCACTTGCAATGCAGTGGTGGATTTTTTACTCTTCTCTGTGTGTATTAACCGTTTTAAAATTCTGAAGGTTCATAATTGTAAAACTCGCTTATGGAACTTTGGGAAATAGTTAGAAAGGACTAAGAAACGTGGCTTGAGAACACGAGATTGTGTTCTTATATTTGGACCACAGTAAATCACATTAAATCCTTACTGCTTCTGCTTTGTAGTTTGAAGTATATCGCAACTGCTGGACGTTTATGGAATTTTAAAAATGTAATTGCTCTCTGGTGTTCAAAGTCTCGTTCCAGGTTGTCAAAAGTTCTGTGTACGTATGTATTTTCATGTAAAACACAGTTCACCCGTTACTTCTTTCTGAGCTCATTTGTTATTTATTGAGATCTTTCCTTTTTAAAAAAAATTTCTATGTAGAGAATCTGAATTTTGATTGCTGCTTAGTTGTGCGGTAGGTAAATTAGGATTTAGCTCATCCCTTGTACTGGACGTAGATAAACCTGCTTGCTGATTCATACATTATGCTAAGGAACAAGATAGTTAAGATCTAAGGTAGCTTAGCAGAAAGAATCAGAATAGAGCTGGACGGGAATAGGTCTTCTAGTCCAACCCCATGCTCAAGCAGGAGATCCTATACCATTCCAGACAAGTGGCTGTTCAGTCTCTTCTTAAAAACCTCCAGATGAAACACCCACAATTTCTGGAGGCATGCTGTTCCACTGGTTAATTATCCTCACTGTTAAAAAGTTCCTCCTTAGTTTCAGGTTGCTTCTCTCCTTGGTTAGTTTCCATCCATTGTTTCTTGTTTTGCCTTCTGGTGCTTTGGAGAATAGCTTGACTCCCTCTTCTTTGGGGCAGCCCCTCAGATACTGGAATACTGCTGTTATGTCCACCCTAGTCCTTCTTTTCTCTAGACTGGCCAAACCCAAATCCTGCAACTGTTCTTCATATGATTTTAGTCTCCAGTCCCCTAATCATCCTGGTTACTCTTCTCTGTACTTTTTCCAAAGTCTCAACATCTTTTTTGCAATGTGGTGACCAAAACTGGATACAGTATTCCAGGTATGGCCTTACCAAGGCTTTATAAAGCAGTACTACCCCTCTACATATCAGCCTTTGGTAACCATTTCACTGTTCTCTGAATTGTACCACCAGAATTCAGTGGTGCATTTTTCCCTCTCAAACTGGAGATAACCGTATTCTCCTTCTCTTCCTCCTCCTCCTCCTGAACTAAAACAAATGATTCTGCCTACTCCAGCAACATCACTGAATCACTAAGACTACAGGTAGTCCCTGACTTACGAACACAATTGAGTCCAACATTTCTGTTCCTGTTAAGTGGATTTTGCCCCATTTTAAGACCTTTCTTGCCACAGTTGTTAAAGGAATCACTGCAGTTGTTGGTAACACCGTCGTTAAATGAATCTGGCTTCCCCATTGACTTTGTCAGAAGGTTGCAAAAGGGGATCACATGACCCCAGGACATTGCAACCATGAATACATGCCAGTTGCCAAGCATCCGAATTTTGATCACATGTGACCAAGAGGGCTGCTTCAATGGTTGTGTGAAAAACAGTCATAAGTCATTTTTTTTCAGTGCTTCGAATGGTCGCTAAACTAACTGTTGTAAGTCGAGGACGACCTGTAAAAGATCTGCCCTAATTACAGAGAAGCTATGCCCGGTGTCCTAGAACCAGATATAATGCGAACTCAGTTGCAGTTTTGTCTGCCTTCATTTATAGCTTTGTGTTACATATTAATCCACTGGTAGTTATTTGTTAAAACTTGTCCTAGAAAACCAGGTCACTGAACAGTTTCAGGCAGATATCCCTGTTTCTGGCCAATGCATCTACACAGTGCACTTTTTTTTAAACTGTTATGGGACCATTTAGCATTTAAAGTACTTAATCGTACAAGATGATGTTAATAATACTCTTAAAAGTAACAGCAATGATTCTGATAATGGTGATGTGCTTGGAAATTAGCTAATGTCAGGAGTGAATGACCAGGCTCACAGGTGAAGGGTTCAAATTAATTGACTTATTACTAAAAGGCTATGCGCTGGAATCTTTTCAACTAATGGTTAGCACTTGGTTAGAGTTAGATAGCAGTCAATGGCAGTCAAGAGAGGGTTGGGCTTATTTCATTTGCGGCTACATAGTGATTCTAGACTGATCGTTCTTGCCACTCCTTCTCTTGCATCCAATATATTAAAATAGCCAAAATCAGCTTAGATGCATAAGAGACATGTATGCTAATGTGATGATTGCTAGTTTGAGAAATAGCATCTGAAAATCAGAACAGTAATTAGCAATATCAATAGCACTTGGACTTATATACCGCTTCACAGTGCTTTACAGCCATCTCTAAGCAGTTTACAGAGTCAGCCTCTTTCCCCCCAGCAATCTGGGTTCTCATTTTACCCACCTCGGAAGGATGGAAGGCTGAATCAACCTTGAATCAGTCAGAATCGAACTGCTGGCAGTGGGCAGAGTTAGCCTGCAATAATAATAGCACTTAGACTTACATACCGCTTTACAGCCATCTCTAAGCTGCTTATAGAATCAGCCTCTTTCCCCCAGCAATCTAGGTCCTCGTTTTACCCACCTCGGAAAGATGGAAGGCTGAGTCAACCTTGAGCCTGGTGGGATTTGAACTGCCAAATTGCAGCCAGCCGGCAGAAGTAGCTTGCAGTACTGCAGTCTAACCACTGCGCCACTGGGGCTCAACCTTTCCCAAAATTCAGTATCTGTCGTCGTTCCCCAGGGAATGCTGGCCTGTTCTGAAGGACTGTTGTGGATCATTCCCTCCCGCTCCCCTCATATTAGAGGAATATAGCTTTCAGCTCTTAAAGAATTGCTCATGTGCTAAATGCTCTTATAGCAAGGCTTTAAAGAGAGAGAGAACTCATCATGCTCTTATGAAAATACTGTAGTTTGGGCCAAATCTTTGTTGAATGTACACACTCTGTCCCAAGGTGTAAACAGTCACACGAGTGGGTGTAAGCTATATTTGTGTCCTCATTTGTCTTCTGTTAACCATATTGGTTAATATGAAGAAGTTTTTCAAAAGTAACTTCAGGGAGTCCTGGACTTAGGACCCCAATTTCTGTTGCTAAGCGAGACAGTTGTTTGGTGAGTTCTGCCCCATTTTGCCTCCTTTCTTGAC